GTAATCTTTTTTTTTTATTGTGATGGTAGGTCTATGCTATTTATTTTGAATTACGTCAATTAGGAACTCAACATTCGTGGGTATGTACTTTATCTATTTTTTCTTTATTGTTCAAATCATAGATCAAATTTTGAGGTATGTCATGTGTGTGTATGTTGGTGTGGGTGCACATACTTGTGGTTATAATTTTTGTGAACTTACTTGTCTGTATTGAGGTAGGGGTTGTATATGCTTCCATTAGAGTCTGTTTCATTTGAGAAATTGAAGTCTCAACTATAGCAGATTGATATTAATAAATTAATTTTGCTGGAGTTTATTTTCATTTTGCCTTTTCTAGTAAGGCAAGAGTCCATTTCCTTTCTTATCTTATTCTTGTCTCAAAACCGAGTAGAGGAATGGAAGATGGAATGCTATTTGGAATATTTCTACTGAAGGTCTTACACAAAAGAAAAGAATGATTTAAAAATTGTGTTCTCAGTGTTGATCATTTGGAATAAGAAATTGTATTGTTATACAAATTAATTGGGAGGTTTGGTACAGGTTATTGGCACTATATTCTTGATCAATAATTAGTGTTGAATCTCTATGTCGGTTTAGCAGTTTTTAACAAATAGTTAAGAGTGCAACATTCCTCAAGTACAGGTCTTCTCCCTTTGTGACTTTTGTTTATTATTTTAACTCATCATTGTAGTTTCCCCATGTCAATGTGTGTTCTAGGGTCTACGAGAGAAAAAGAGAAATGTGAGAATGAGAAATAGAAGTGCTACCCTACCTTCTACATCACCTCATATATATATGTATCTAAATTTAACTAAAAGACCAATATACTTCTCTTGGAATATAGTTATTACATGGATGCTACTTATACATTCTAATCCTCACTCTCAAGCTGAAGAATATATATCGTATAATTCCACCTTGGAACAAATATATCTTAATTGAGATCTATTTAATGACTTAGTAAATATATTAGCAAGTTGACTCTCAAATTTAATAAATAGTGTGGAAATGTCCCCGTACAAAATGACAATCAACTTTAATGTGATTCATTCATTTATGAAACACAAGATTAGAAGCAATATGAATAGCATCTTGATTTCACAAAATAACTCGATCGGAGTCTGGACTAGAAACCCAATTTTCATGAGAAAGTGTTGTAACTACATTAACTCACTACACGTGTGAGCCTTTGGCCTGTACTCAGCTTCTGCACTAGATCGAGTCACCACTATCTGCCTTTTACTCTTCCATGTTATAAAATTACCTCTCAAAAAGGTACAATATCCAGTTGTAGATCGTGTATCTGAGGCTGAACCTGCCTAATCAGCATATATGAACCCTTCTAACCTAAGGTGTCTTTGCGATAGTAATCCAAGTCCGGGAGCTCTCTTGAGACATCTGATAACAACATCCCAATGTAGTATATAGGAAGCTTTTATAAACGACTTACTACAATCACTGCATATGATATATTTGGTCAGGTAATAGTAAGATAATTTAACTTTCCAACTAGTTGATGATACCATCCAAGATCTTAGAAACATTCACATTCATCCACTAAGAGTTTATGGTTCAGATCTATAGGGATATCAACCGATCGCCTCCTAGAAAACTTGTTTCCTCCAAAAGGGCAAGCTCATATTTTCTTTGAGACAGACTAATTCCCACTTTAGATCTAGCAACTTCGATACCAAAATGTTAACGAAATTTGCCCAAATCTTTAGGATGAAACCAAAGTTGCAAAAACTGTTTTAATTTGACAATACCCACAAAGTCATCATTGGTAATCTCAATATCATCAATATAAATAATAAGAAGGATATTACCTGCATTTAGTATGTAAGTAAAATACTAATTGATCTGTCTGACAGCTATGAAGGCCAAAATCCAACACTACATGTGAAAAATTCTCAAACCATGCTTGTGAAGATTGTTTCAGCCTATACAATGCTTTTTGTAATTTGCACACTATTCCCTAATACTCTTCCTAAGCAATAAACCCAGGTGTTTGCTTCATATAAATTTCTTCCACTAAGTCACTACCTAGGAAGCACAGATAATTCCCAGAGGGGTGTTGTAGAAGAATCGAACATAATTAGAAGTGTTCTGAATAGTGAACCCACTCGAACACAGTCAGGATTTTTTTTATTTTTTAAAAATAACTGTTAACTATTAAAGAGATGTTATTTCTATTTTTTAAAATATAATTTTTATTATGTAACTTATATACTATGAAGATCAATGGATGTAATGATATTTGATAAAAATTGTGGATATTTATTTTGATCGGCCTCCCCTTCCAACAAATATGTAGCCAAGTCAACCCGAAGGTCCCCGGCGATCCCCATACCATCACAAATGTTTTTCACCCGGCGGATCCATCTATCCGCATCTAAGGGATTGGAGCTCCCTTGGAAGGTGGGTGGGTGTTGCCGTAGACATTCTCGAAGAGCCACCATCCTTTGGTTTTCATCGCCGTTGCCTGGTACTTGGACTAAAGGACGAACTCCACCGTTGTGGTGGTTGTTCCCACCTGGTTGTTGCACTAGGGTGGTGAGTTCCCTTAAACATTGGTAAATACCCTGTATGGCGTCGAGAGGTGGTGGATTTGCTTGACCACCACGCCCACGACCACGCCCACGTCCACGTCCACGTACCCGTTCACCGTCCATCCTGCATATCAATTCACAATTTAGTTTCATTGATGTACAAGACATCCTAAATATCACTTTAATCTACAGCATAAGGTTCATATAAAATTAGACCAACAATTTCCTTCAACTTAATCCTACTTCCCGAGTGGTAATCCATAACCTACAGCTCCCATGTATGACCTAAAGCCTAGGCTTTGATACCAAATCTGTAACGCCCCAAAAACCCCCTTGGATGACATTACATTCTAAAAATCATTCACCGCATGAGAGGATTAAGTAAATCCATCACGACGAAAGTTTCATTCATCCACCATTCATATTTTAAGAAAATTTGGGCAGAGTCTCCTTTGTTAGGGGAGCTCTACCTAAAACACAACCTGTGCAATTCTACTGTAATGACCACACTGGGTCCATTTAACTACCATAAAATCAATCCATCCAATTTACATGTTATCCCAAAAGAATAGGCCAAGTTATGGCCTTTACATTCCCACAAAAGTACTATAATACACAGCGGAATTTATAAAATAAAAACTAGGCTATACAATTCTCTCAAAAGATTATCCAAGTCTATAACAAAAGAAAGGGGGGTCGCTCTAAGCATCCACCTCGGGATCCACGCTCCCTTCTATCGGAGTCTCCAAATATGTCGGCCCCTCGACTCCCAGCTCCTCGTCAAAGGCAAAATCTAAAAGGTGGGGAAGTAGGGGGTGAGCACAAGGCTCTGTAGGAGGATCCTTCCAAACTCATTCAAGGTTTTGAAATCAAGTAAAACAGGTAGGTCACATTTCGCACATACATATAAATGAATTTTAAAGTAAAGTAAGGACATTTTAAAGGAGATCTCAAGTTTGTACAATAATAAGGACTTGAACGAGAATAAAACCACGTTTAATTGACAAACAATTTCCAACATAATCCACTCCACCATACACCATTTCCACAAGGTATCGCGGCATCCCATACTACCTGAAACTCTTGGAAAAATAATATTTGGTACAATGAACAAAAATTTCTATTTGGTACCACTCAAGTAGGTTGTCGCTTCTCATGAATCTACCCGACGATTCTATCTCGTTCACCCATTTCCACTAACAATCACGGACCAATTTAGGAAGGGCATGTACCGTCTCATACGGCCTTGACGAGATCCTTCCAAGGTGTCTAGTATACTAACCCTTTTCCCCGGTATCCGTGAACAATAGTGGTCACTGTCACCACAGTGATCCACTACGAGCATTAGGCAACCATCTCACCCCACATTGGGATAGACTAACCTCTAATGCTCTACGGCAGTTTTCGAAGGTAATCCAAGTCCCTCACAACACCATACACAAGAGTGACATACCAACAATATACTCAACCTCATATACAAGCAAATTCCATGATGTTTCCCCAAATTTTCACAAAACAAGATACATAATAGAACAATTTAAGAAAATATACTCATTTCGCAAATCATATAACAAGAGACAAGTTTAAAGGAAATAAGCATGAGATCATCAATACAATCATTTTACTACCCAACACAAAGTTATAGAATTTTCGAAATCAAGATGATGTGAAGATATAGAGAAAAATCCATATTTCCCCCAAAAACTAGAGTTTGATGGATTTCCAACCATCATTTTGTTCAAATCATGGGAATGTTTGTAAACATACCAAATAACAAGAAACCCATAACAAATACATACTATTAAGAGCCAAATTTTACATGTATAATAACCCTAACATCAATGGACAAGGATGGAAGAAAACCCTACCTCAATGTTCTTAAAAACCTAGGTTTAGTGTGAAGAAGATGAAGATTTGATCTTCTTTGAAGTATAGATCTCCTCTTGATCTTGTGTTTTATCCTTCTCTCTTCCTCTAGAGTCCTAAGAGAAGTGGGTTGAGAGTGGAATGAGAGAAATGAGAGTAAAGGCTGAAATCTGTGTTTTTAAACACAGAAATCCTGAATTTTTTTTTTTTACTGTTCATGGGCTGCTTCGATATTACTTCGTTATCAGGGCATAACTCTCTCATCCGAGCTCCGATTGAGATGATTCAAGATGCTATGGAAAGCTAAGAAAGAACTCTACAACTTTCATGTTTTGAGTTTTAAGAGATATTGACTACATCAAGGTCTAAATTGGGCTTGAAGTTGCAGCCAGTGCACTGTTCACTATTTCATCCCTTTTTCCATTTCCAATCTACCAAATTCAAACACACATCGCTACACCTATCCCCATTTTTACAAAAATTATTTAATATATATCTATGTGCATATATATAAAATAAAATGCGGAGTGTTACAAATTCGTTAGGGCGATCCACTCTCTCCCTACCTTTTCATTTTGGCCGCTAATGTGTTATCTCTTTTACTCCAAAAAGGTGTGGAAGATCATAGGTTTGAAGGAGTTAAAGTTCGCAGAAGGTGTCCTTCAGTGTCTCATCTCCTGTTTGCAGATGATTCCCTATTTTTTGGCAAGGCTAAGGAGCAAGGGATTAGGAACTTCATCAATATTCTTGGTGCTTATTGTGTGGCTTCGGGGCAATGCTTGAATTACATGAAATCAGGTATTATTTTCTCTTCCAATACAACATCTAAATAGAAGGAGCATCTTAGCAATCTTCTGGGTATAAGGCCTTTGGCTGAGGATGCTAAATATCTGGGGCTTCCAATTTTTGGATTTTTGCTTGAGAGGGTCTTGAAAAAGATGCAGGGTTGGAAAGGGCTGGGGCTCTTACTTTCACAAGGCGAAAAAAAGATCTTAATCAAAGCATTGATACAAGCTATTCCCTCGTATGCTATGTTTGTCTTTTGCTTTCCTAAGAATTTTTGTGCAAAACTTGACAGATATGTGTGAAACTTTTGGTGGGGTAAAGGAGGGGAGTAGAGAGGAATTTATTGGAAGAAATGGGTGTCTATGATAGAACCGAAGATGAAAAGGGGTATAGGGTTTAGGGACTTCTCCTCCTTCAACCAAGCTCTTCTTGCTAAATAGGGGTGGAGAATCATTACAAACCCAAATTCTGTTTGGGCCAGATTCTTTAAGGCAATTTGCTTTCCGGAGTGTGATTTCATGGAGGCAAAAATAGGATCTAGACCTTCGTGGTTCTGGAGAAGTTTTCTGAAGGGAAGGGAATTGCTAGATAAGGGGCTGTTGTGGCAAGTTATCGACGGCAACGATATTCAAATTTGGGATGACAAGTGGATCCCACTTTTACCAGATGCTGTCATTTCCTCCCCAAAACCCCATTCAAGTAACATCAATCTGGTCAGCAATCTCATTGTCAAGTCATTTCAAGTGTGGGACTCAATGCTAATTAAGGAACTTTTTAACGAAGAGGAAATCGGTGCAATTATGTCCATTCCACTCTCAAAGTTGCCTGGGGCCGACAGAAGGATTTGGCAACCAAGTTCCAATGGTTTCTACTCTGTTAAATCTAGGTATTCCTTGGCTACTTGCAATAACTTTCCGCATAATGTGGATGTTGGGCCCTCCTTCGCTCCTCATCCAATGTTATGGCATGTCGTTTGGTAAATGAAGACTTTCCCCAAAATAAGGCATTTCTGGTGGCAAGTATGCAATAATGCCCTGGCCTCTCGTGACAATTTGTTTCGAAGAAATTGTGATATATCACCTTGTTGTCAAATCTGTAAGGTTAATATTGAAACTATCGAGCATGCTTTGTTTGGCTGTGAATGGACAAAGAAGGTGTGGTTTGGTTCTGGTTTTGGCTTTCGCTTTGTTGAGGATTCCTTTTCTTATGATATGCAATGAGTCTCTGATATCTTAGATTCTATTTGTGACACTTCTTGTTCTTTAGAGGTGACGGGGAAAATCGCGACTATTGCGTGGACAATCTGGAAAGGCTGCAACTAGGCGGTTTTTAATCAGGAGGCGCCAAATGCTTTTGCTACATTGCTTTTTGCAAGGAAATTATGGTGTGATATTTTTGCAGCTTGATTTCAAGGTGTGAATTTTTCTTTTGTCCCAGCTGATCCCGTGATCCCCCCTAATTGTCGGAGACATGACATTATTCTCAACTGTGATGGGATTTTTAAAAAGGGCAAGGCCGCTATTGGTGTTGTTGTCAGGTATTCGAACGGTTGCATTGTGGACGGGTTTGGTGCAAAGGTTTTGGCTTCCTCAAGCGTCCAAGCAAAAGCTTTTGCGGTGAGGGAAGCATGTCCACTTGCTACTGCAACATAGTTAAAGAATTCTTGTGTTGAGAGTGATTGCCAAGCGGTTATTAAATTGTCCTCAACTGAAGACAACCCCCCTTGGGAGATTAGTGCTCTTATGACGGATATCAGGTTTTTTGCCAATCAACTCTATCTTAGTTCTTTTCATAAGTCAAGGGCCCTCAACAGGATGGCTCATTAGGTGACTGCAACTATGTTGACTGATTCGCTTGCTGCGAACTGGGTCAATTGTCCTTCGAACGAGTTCAAGACTTTTCTTTATTCTGACTGTAATCATCATTTTCCTACATGAACGAATATTCACACTCTTTTGATCAAAAAAAAAAAACTTGAATGTTCTTGGAAAAGAGATGCCAAGTGAGTTTACTTGCGAAAGTCGACAGATGAGAAAAGCTACATATATTTAATGCATCAAGGTACTATGAGTCCGTGCATGGTCATTTGGTCTTTGCTTCAGTTGTGATTAAATGGATGTTTTCTATAACATAACAAACTGTTTTAACCAAAATTTTCCAAGAAAGTACCTACAGAAAGTAGCAACTTCAATTTCGAGATTAACTCCAGCATAACAATGAATTTTGAACAGTGCAGATCTTGTAACTGGTAAAGCTAATTTCAACTATAAAAGTGCCGTAATGATGTCTACTACCCAGATGCAACATGTCTAGAGGGGGTGAACAAGTCTTTAAAAAGATTAATTAAAAAGTGTCCACAGACCAATTGAAGCCTCACAAGGAAACAACAGATGGATAATATGTGGAGCAAAGAAGCAGCTAATCATCATATGCAAAAATTATTACTCGATTGATTCAACCCTCTATGATCCATATATTAGGATATATTGGTCTTCGATGTTTGATGCAATCTCATAAATCAATAAAAGCAAATGACTTTTTACGTTGAAACCCAACGCAGGAAAAAATCATTGGACATAGTGAAGGCAAATTGAAGACTCAAATTACAAGAACCAGAACACTTACGACACAAGATCATACTTTACGAAATTTTATGCTTTTCTCGTGTGTTGAAATGCTCTTGATTCTGCCATTGATCCCTGATGTATCTAATGGATCCTGCACACTACATTCCACAACCTAAGGCTCCACGATTGAAATTAACAACTACTATGCCTCGAAACTCCACCAACCTCCACGGTTCCGCCGGAAAATGGGAAGGTTTACAAAGTTTGTCGGCTTGACTAGGGAACACTGTACGACTGGGCATTCGATCTTCAATTGTTACTTTGCAATTAGTCAATGGCATGAACACTAAACCGAAGGCTAGGGTTTTGCATTTGGTCTTGTTTATGTGTTCTCCCATTGTCTCTCAAAATTGTGTAAGAGTCATGTATTTATAGTTGGCAGACACTTCGGCGCATGGCGAGGTCAGTTGAGGCGAAATAAGAAAACTTCATAACTAGTGTAATTAAAAGCTCGCCTAGGGGCAAGGCGAGGATAGGCGAACCCAGATCGCCTCAAGTTGTCGAAGGAAAGGCTTAACCGAAAAAAGCGAGCGCTTCATGATTAAGCGCAAGGCAACGAAGTGAATGCTTTTGTTTATTTATATTGCTTTGTTGATGTGTTTTGACCCTTAGATCTGCGTAATTGCCTTAATTGGATAAAAATACTGAGGGGATTTTTCCTTCTTCTATTCTATGAAAGATTGGATTTTTTGCTTCAAAGTCCAGCTCCTTAACACAACAGATTGTAGTTCGATGTGTATATAAATGTTAATCCTAAAAATTCCCTCTTCAATATCGACAGATCTTGATTGAATTAAGGGGTTGCGGGAAGGGGATAAATGGAACCTGATCAAATATTTAGTTCTTGACTTGTGTGTTTTCAAATGTTATGATTTGAGATATTATTGTTGTTTTTTTTTTTTTTTTTAATTTAAATGTTTATGTTTATGGTAGCCACTATGCTATTGCTTGCATTTGAATATTTAACATTTGAAAAGTTAGAACTTGCATATATGGTAGCAAGTAAACTACAATACTTGCTTGGGTTTTATACTATTTGCCTCGCTTTGACGAAGCTTTCGTTTCGCCACTCGCCTAGGCTTTAGGAGACCTGAGCACCTCAGTTCACTTAACGCCTTAAGTAACATTGTTCATAACTAAAGATTCTACAGCCGCTCGAGCACTCGGCCATCTTGCTCGAGCGCCCTTATCTCCACTGGAGCAAGGAGCAAATGCCAGGTTTTGGATTCCTGATAACAGTTCCTATAGGACCTATACCACTTCGCTCAAGCACCAAGAGTGCACGAAGCATACTCTAGATTCTGGAATTTTCCAAACTCATCCTAAATGACCTCGTTTGAGACCAAGGAGAGGCTCATTTGATGGTAGTCTACTCTTAAGCCTTCAATTTTTGTGTTTAGGCACATTTTTGGATTTCAAATACCATGGCTAAATATAAATCAAGCATCACTGAAACCATATTATCTAATTGTCCTTTAGGCTCAAGGTCTGTAGATTCACTTACCAATCCTAACTGATGGGAATCCAATGATTTTGATATTGAAATCTTCAATCAACTATTGCATATCCTTGTCGCGTGTCCTGGACACATATCTTTAGTCTACAGCTCATATGACCTAGACTTAACCCAACTTTACTAGTTATGTGACTCACAGGATTTTGTCAACTACAAATGAACCTAACAAACTAGGATACTATGGTGGAAATACTGAGACATTGAGCTCGAGGACTTGATCATTTGATGATACCTGGGTGGAAATACTGAGACATTGAGCTCGAGGACTTAATCATTTGATGATACCTGGGTGGAAATGCTGACAACTTGAACTTGAGGACTTAGTCATCTGATGAAGAACCAACTTTTCAGTGCGGTGATACAGATCCAGTTGTTGCAAACCATTGTTATGTACTGTCAGGCCTATCTATTCTCTTCATATGTATGATATTAATTATAATCACCTCAATAAGAAGGATTTTGGTTGTCGGTTATTAGCTGGGTGGTTCCCTTATTCCGCTTGAAGATTTCTTTGGGACTTTGCAGTTTACTGTGCTGCGATATATTTGTGGCTCGAAATACCTTAGGACTAATGTTGGATATTACGAGCTCCCTCGCAACTAAGAGATGCATGTTGCTTATAAAGTTTCTTTTGGACCTATATTGTTTTCCTGCTAGTGATGGACTGATAAGTTATCCTCCTTTCATTCCATAAAACAGAAATGCACAACAATTTAGAAAATCAGCCGGGGGTGCCCAGACCACCAACAAATTCACAGATGAATCCATTTGGGAATCCGTTCTATGGAGCTGGTTCATATAGAGAGAGAATTTTAGGGTCAAGCTCTGACTATGTGCAAAGCACTGTAAGTAAGACTCGAAGGCAATTAACAGGCTCATTTGCTGGTAAATTATGGATGCTATTTATTTTATGTTAGAATTATTTATTTCATTGCATGGAAGGTCTGCTATTGACAGAGGTTTTCTACTGACGCTTCCTGGACCCCTTGTGCTCTATTTTTTTTTTTTCTAGTTCAAGTTCCTTGTGCCCTGTCTATACTCCCTATGTGCATGGGTTGTGCCCCTTTGCGCTTTTGGGGTTAGTTTATCTATCACAAAAAGGATTTTATGGCGAAACAATGTCAATGCCAAATTGCTTTTGGTGGAAGCCTTATGACTTGTGTCCACCATAACTACTGAGGCTGCGACTTTTTTGGATGATGTCTTTTGGGGAATGTGACCTTTCCAAATTGAAGCTTTCCACTTTTTTTCAATTTGGAAAATTTTCCTCTGAGAGATGATTGGATATCCCTTGAAAATTGAACTAGTTCATCTTTTTTTGCATAAACTTCTGAGGACAGGTAGAATCCCCAGACACTGACCCATGAATAAGTTTAGCTCTCAATTCAATGTGAATTAAAAATTGATTCATTGGTCGGTGAATTCTAGACATAGGTGTCACTTCCCATTCGCTAGCCATGTCGAGTAGTCGACCTCCCTGATGGCTTCGGCTTTGAGGAACTTGGCCACTTTTTCGTTGATCGCCTTCTGTCTTTCTGGCGCGAAGCTCCTCCTCTTTTGCCAAATAGGTTGGTTGTTGGTCAGACTTCTTAATGTTCTGGCAGCCTCCAAATTTCTTGGTCCACTTCGAAACCGAAGTTTAGTTGAATGAGGAAAATTCACAACTTTTCAGTTTTAAGTGAATCTGTGATGGTGTATAGCTCTGAAGCACTTCTTTAGATGGAAACCCACGGCTAAAGCAACTTCAGAGGTTTCTAATTATGACTTGTCAACTACTTTGTTGTTTTTACTAATATCATGTCCATTCCTCTTGCCGTACCTTTTTCATACTTTTGATGAAGTGATTTTTCATTCCAAGAGGACTTTTTGTGGTTCTCTGATCATGTTCATCCATTGGAGTATGAAGGGCTAATTTTTCCTTTAAGAGAAGGTTTCGAGGGGTTTCATTTACCATTCTTTCTGATTTGGACAGATAAGTACGTACTTCTCTGTTCCGCAGTACTACTTTCAAGTCAATTATTACTATGTGCAGAACAAACTGAAGGTTGTTCTATTTCCGTTCCTCCACAGGATAATTCCTAGTTTCCTCTGCCTTTTTTCTTTTCTTTTTGTTCATCGTCACTATTTTTTCCAATAGTAATGCTTACCTTTCCTATTTTCATATCTTCAGGGCCATTGGACAAGGATAACTGAGCTTGTAGGGGGCAGGCTCTCCTACAAGCCCCCCATCTATGATATTAATGATCCAGATCTGTACATTCCATTGATGGTGTTCAGCACCTACATAGTTCTTGCTGGCTTCTCATTGGGTCTGCATGGAAAGTAAGAATGTGCATAGTTTTATACCCTTCTATTAGGAGCTTTTTTTCTTTTAATACTTGTTCCTTTCCCCTTCCCTCCTCCACTCTTCCCACTTCTCCAAGGCCTTGAATTAGACCATTTGTTCTTGCAAGTAGCATTTTACCAAACAAGCAAGTCACCATCAGCTATGTGGTTAAACTATTTTCAGAGTTTCTTTACAGGAAGCATGAAAAGCAATAATTTTTTTTTAATGGATTTGCATCCATGGCTAAAACGAGGAAGTGTAGCATGTATATATAGATCCAGGCAGCAGCAAAGCTGGCAGCAACAGTGATTGTGGTTGTTGCATTTTGGGCGACTTTTGGAACCATTGGAAATTATGCTAGTGACTTTGGGAAATAATTTTCAGTTTCTCTCAATCCTGCGTTGGAGCAATTTAAATCTCTACTTGTTGAAAACATCTTCAAACCTTGGCAGGTTCACAACAGAATCTCTAAATTGGTTGTTCATCAAGGGGCTGATAGGCTGGTTTTTGCAAGTTTTGCTGCTGAAATCGATAATGATGTCATTGGGTAGTGGGGACTCACCCTTGTTGGACATAGTATCATACGCAAGCTACACTTTTACAGGGATGTGTTTGGCTGTCCTTGGAAGAATTATCTGGTGCCAGTCCTACTATTTCTTGATGCCTTGGACTTGTTTATGCATGGGAATCTTCTTGATGAAGACAATGAAGAGAGTTCTTTTTGCTGAGGTGAGAAGTCTTGATTCAAACAAGCATCATTATCGCTTGCTCTTCATTGCTTTGGCTCAACTCCCACTTTTTTTTTGGCTAGGTAACATGGGGCTTCATTCGTTCTTCTGAACACTCTTATTATACTTGATCCAAGAAGTCATTGATTTATGGCCATCTCAAAACATTACATGCAGTTTGTTCATTTTATTTATTATATTAGGTGAATACTTCTGGCATCTGATCCAATGTACTCAAGGTCAAGGGAATTCCCTAGCGTGCGTTTAGGAATTTTAACTGGAATGTGATTAGTTGTAATAGAGAAGATGGATAGGAAGAACAAAAATCTCTTTTAAGTTTCCATATTCAGAACAGTTCTTTTTTTTTTTATTCATTTGGAGTGGCAACTTTCTATTTTGGAACCAAGAAGGCATATTACTTGGAGTGCATGGGTAAAATCTAGTCATGTATCCCTTAGACATTACCATTTACCAAATTATGTGGGCCCGAAATGCGCTCACGCACTATCACCACCACTATGGCCGACACATTCTGAAGCTGCCCTTTGCCCTCCATGACACAAGGAATTGTTCAGTGGACATCTTAGGCAGTTTTGTGCAAGACTTCCCCTGATCCTCAGTGCTCTACTGCCGAACTCTGGTGGCAGTCCTCCCTCCAGAAAATTGTGATCCAGGTACAAGCTTCTCCATGAGCCTCCCACCTTTTCTCCATATTGCAGTGGAATTCGACCAGAAAATAAATTATTCCCAAGATTGATTGATGTTAAGTTCCCATAAGTGATCAAGTTTGCAGGCAAGTGACCATGCACACGGTTGCCATGCATGTCAAGCACTTGAAGCTGTGTACTCCTGTCGGTGGATCTCATCACCGCCATTGTTGTGAACTGATTTTCGGAAACATTAAGGCGACTAACCTCAGGTAATGTGATGATTTCCTGGTTTATCAAACCAGAAAACCTATTATCGCTCAGATCTAATGTTTTGAGATGTTGTAGCCTCATTATAGATGAAATTTCCCCCGAAAGCAAATTGTGCCCCAGCAACAATGATCTTAAGCTTATAGGAAGCTGTGGTAAATTTCCATAGAGCTGATTACCACTAAGATCCAATGTGCTGAGTTGCCATAGCCCGGTGAGCTCTGGGATTCTACCTGACAACTCATTGTTTGACAAACGTAAGAGGGTCAAGCTCCGAAATGCAGAAATCACGGCAGGGATTGAACCGGAAAGCCTGTTTCGTGACAAATCTATACTCCCGAGCTTCCAGAGTCTGTTGATTCTGTTAGGGATACTGCCACTGAAGAAATTATCTGCTAGAACAAGTCTGTTGAGGTTTTCCAAGTTGGAGAGAGTGTTTGGTATTGGCCCTCTGAACTTGTTTCTGCTCAGATTGATTGTGGTGAGCTCTGTTAGGTTTCCGATTGTTGATGTTAGAAACCCCTCCAACCCTTCTCCTTCGAGATCAATAGCTGATATTCTGCTACTAGAATTTTCATGAGGAATTGTGCATAAAATTCCTAGAAAATGTGCCCCACTGCTCTCACATGGATCATTCTCGAAAGTCCATGTATTAAGGAAGGAAGATGAAGAGATTGTGATGGGATCGATTGACTGCTTGAGGAAACGAAGAACTTGAATGTCCGACTCTAGAGTTTTTGATTGTACACACCTCGGTATCGAAGTCAGGATTATGGTTCTAATGATCGTGTATGAGCAGAAAGACAAAATGAACTGTATAGATCTAGCCATTGGATTAAGGAATGCCTTGTTCAATCTCCGATTGTTGTTGTTGTGTGATAACGTTTGCTCTTTATAGGGATGGTTTTGATTGAAGTGATTAGGTAAATGACTCATTGTGGTGGAGTGCTCAACTGAGAAGTTTGGGCATGTAAAATGAATTCCTGAAAGTAGGTTGGAAGTATGGAAGGTGATGTATATGTTTGTTAATGTACATTATGCAGTCATCCCTATTAGCACCCATTTCTACCCACTTTTTTCACAACGAATTCCATAACTAGAGTTTTGGCAATCTCCCTCCTTTTTCCCCTCAAAAAATACATGTCATATATTAACAAGAATTCTATTCACTAATGCTCCGTTTTGTAGGGACGATGGAAAGTAGAAAAGATGAAAAATAGGAGAGATACATTTTCTATCCTTCAAGAATGGAAAATAGGAATGATACATTTTTTTTCTTTTGTGTTTGGTTGGATGGAAAGAAAATAAAAATGACTTTTTTTTGTGCTGGCTAAGATTAGAAGTGACAATCGAGTTGTATAGTGACAGATTCGTGTTGAGTCATTACGAGTTTGTGTCGAATATTAGTCAAACTTAACTTAACTCATTTAACTAATTGTGTCGTGTCGAGTTACGAGTTAACCTGTTTATTTTCGTATTGAGTTCGAGTTGTATCATCATGTTGAGTCGAAAATTTCACCCTTAATTAAAATGGAAAAAATATTTTTTTTTAATTTAAATTTTTTATTTTTTATTTATTTTAAATTTTTTAAAAAATATATACATATTTTATCATTGTATTTTTATATGAAATTAATATGTACATTAAATATATAGATAAATAAGATACATCTCAACAAAAATAATTTAACTTTTTATTCACTTTTTTTCCGATTTTGGAAGGATTGATTTTGGTGAGTTTTCATTTTTCTTACTTTCCTTCTTTACCAAACATGATCTTTTATTTATCCTTCCAACTTTCTACCCTTCTAACTTTTCATCCTCCTATTTTTTCATCGTTCCAAACAGAACATAAACATAAAAAAGAAGCCAACACAAGCTCGTAGACCCGTTGTGCATGTGCCATTTAACAGGCTTTTGTATTACAAAAATGAACGAGAATAAGCAGAGAGACATGAAAAGAACAAACAAAACATTACTCCTATGACAAGAACTTTCGACGAAATTAAAATTCTTTCGTTACTTTGCATTATTTCCAATGCGTCATGTCTAGATAGAGACAATTAATATTTTTCACTGTAAAAATGTGTTTGTAAAATATACTTTAAAGTTTTCTATTGCAAGCTCATTTTTGAAACACATTATTATATTATTATTTATTATATTGAAAAACAAAAGTCCAAACCAAGTTTTTCACGACAACAATGGTAGACTGAAATAAATTGGAAATCTCGATACATATGGAATAAATTCCAAGAAGTGCCGTGATTTGGCAATTGATTCCCAATAATAAACCTTTATGATAAGTCCCCATCAATGGAGCTCCTCCAATGCATTGTTAAGCTAATTATACGCATGCATACAAACATATATACACAGGAAGATGGATCTCTGTACTGATGCATAGTTCTTACACCCTGCCGTGCACTTGTTTGGTACACCATGGCACTGTTTAATCTGCAAGTTCGACCGAAATCAGGAACCGTGAAATGCTCATCATCTTCATCGGGCATTCTGATTCTAGGCTTCTGGTGAGGCATGTAGGATTTTTTTGGCCTGTACGAGGTGACATTATTCGACTGTGAAAGTGGCGGCTGAGGAACTTCAGCCGCTGCCAAGGCCTTCGTAGCAACTTGTTCACCAAAAGGACCAATGTATGTCAACGACCCGAGCTCTCCAAACTCAAGTTGTTCCTTCTGCACAGACTGAAAACGAATAATTAGTTTTTAGTATGAACCATACAAACGAATAATTAGGAAAAACAATCCAGCAACATTAAAATAACAATGCTTCAAATATCCTCCGCTGGTATGTGCAAGGATATTGATAGTAGCGCCCAAAATCGAGAGGAAATTGATAGAAGTATGTATGCATAATAGCAAAACTCATCCTATGAAAGAAGCAGAAAGTTTTAGATGGCTTGCAATGATACGAGGTCTCAAATTTCAGAACATCAAGTTTGGAATAACTGCAGAGATCTGTATGTTTTTTCTTCAGTCCCAAACTGATGAAGGACAGATCAATTGTCACGTGCTGGAAGAACAATCAATGACCGATTCTTATGCTCCATTTGATAGGGAGAATGGAAAGTAGGAAGGATAGAAAGTGGGAGGGATACACTTTCTATCCTTCAAGGATGGAAAGTAAGAAAGATACATTTTCCTTCCTTTGTGTTTGGTTGGATGAATGAAAAATAAAAATTACTATTTTTTTTTTTTTTGTGATGGCTAAGATTAGGGGTGACAATCGAGTCGTGTCATATCAGATTCGTGTTGAGTCGTTACAAGTTTATGTCGAATATTAATCAAATATAACTTAACTCATTTAACTAATTGTGTCGTGTCGAGTTGCGAGTTGACCTGTTTATTTTCGTATCGAGTTCGAGTCGTGTTATCGTGTTGAGTCAAAAATTTTCACCATTAATTAAGATGGAAAAAATATATTTTTTTAATATAATTTTTTTTTTATTTTAAATTTATTTTTAAAAAAATTAAAAAAAAAAATATATATATATATATATATATATATATTACTATTGTATTTTTATGTGAAACTAATGTATACATAATATATGTATATATAAAAAGATATATAGACAAATATGATATATCTCAACACAAATAATTAACTTTCCTTCCGATTTTGGAGGGATTGATTTTGGTGAGTTAAAAGGAAAGTTAATTCATCCACTTTTCCATCCTTCCTACTTTCCTTCCTTACCAACCTTGATGTTTTATTTATCCCTCCAACTTTTCATCCTTCTAACTTTTCATCCTCCCACTTTTCCATCGTACCAAACGGAGCACTAAATATTAGGTTAACTTTCCATGGTCAATTTCACATTCAGGCTATGGGTAGTGAAATAATCTGATTTATTTGTCTCCTTTGGACGGTTATCATATGAAAAAACTTAGTATTGTTTATATATGTCTTATGAGAATGCAAAATATCACATTTTTCTCCCTTAATGTTTAGCCTTTTATACTCATTTGGTGCCTAAATTTACTCATTATTCTTATATTTTGATTTAAGATGCAAATGGAGGTGTTGAATGCAAAACGAAGCTAATTGGGCGATTTTGGACAGTTTTGACACCGCTTTGTAATCGCTTCGTAATCTGCGCATAATTCTCTCATCCGAGCTCTGATTGAGATGATTCAAAATGCTATGGAACGCCAAGAAAAATCTCTACAACTTTCTTGTTTTGAGTTTTGAGAGATATTGGCTGCATCAAGATTTAAATCGGGCTTGAAGTTGCGGTATGTGCACTGTTGACGTTCTGGAACGTTCCTTAGCCCTGCAATTCTAATACGCGGTTTATTTTTGGAAGATTCCAAACCTGGTGCATAAAAATTCTAGCGGAAAACAACACTTTCCTAGTTATATTAGGACTTTATTTTATTTTTAAGTTTTTCCTTAATTAGTCAGACTAGGTAGGTTTTGAAAAAAAAGGGATGAACGGGTAAAGAGGAGATAAAAAAATACCATCATACTTCACACCCAGCTCTACCCCCCTCTCTAACTCCTTCCAGTTTTCATCATGGCCCTACGTGACTAAACTTTGATCCTTGGTCGAAGGAAATGAAAGTCTCGGAATCAATAAAACTGTGAGATCTAATTTATTTTTATTGTTCAATTTATGCTTTGAGCATCGGATGTTTTGTTGTGCCAATTTTCACGATTGTCTCGTTTAATTACTAGGAGGCTTACTAGTTTATTATTCGTTGCAATATACTTGTAGGTTAGATATCAAATTCGTAATTGTTTAATCCCTCTAATTTGTGAAGCAACTAAGATTTAATGATCTACTGCATCAAAAATTATTAGATCTTAAGAAGAACGCTAGACCAAATTAAATGCAACCTCTTGTGCTTGTGTTGTTTAGTTTCATCGATCTCTCTAATTCTTAAGGCTGCTACTAGATTAAACCTTTAGCGCTTGTCTTGGGTTGTTTAATAGTTAAGGTTAAATAGATCGTTTGTTTTCTAATTAACTGCAACTAAGGAAAGATAGGAAGATAGTTTCAACGGTGAATATTTAGATAGTGAATTCATATATACTTGCATCGATGATCAATTGAAAATTTCAATGGTGGATATTGACTTACACCAAGGTTTGTTCTTTTGGTTGATTTCGATACTTTAATTTGAAGTGTTCCTTAGTTGTTTTTCTTAAAATTATTTTTGTTAAATTCAAACTCCCTCCATCCTTGTTCACGTAGCATAAAACTAGGCTAGATACTCTCCGTGGGAATAATCCTTACTTGCACTACTACATGTATTTTTAGGAGTATGAGTTTTATTTTTTGTTGTCTGCGACAGCACACCAAATTGAGGTTTTTCTTGTTGATTTTTGTGCTTCTTGTAATCCTTATTTTGTTCTTGAAATTTTTGCAAAAAAACATAAAAATTGTTAGTTTTCAATAGTTATTTTTATTTATTTTCATCAATCTAGATTTTTCCTAATTTGTTTTTCATGGTTTATTAGAGTTTCCTTGATTGTTTATGACTATAACTCCATCTTCTAATCAAGGTGATTTGTAGTACGATCTAGAAATAGAGAAAACTTTGCGCAAGTTAAAGAGGGAAGCTCGGAGAAATTCTGAAGAGAACGATCTAGCTCTTGATTCCCAATTCGCTAGCGATTTGGATTTAGAAGAGGAGGAAGTAATGGCTGGAAATTGAACTTTGAAAGAGCTCACCGCCCCTGATTTCAATCAACAACCTTTATACATAATGTTCCCTACTTTAGATGTTATTGCTACTTTTGAATTAAAATCTAAATTAACACATCTCTTGCCCACTTTTCATGGCCTTGCAGGTGAAGATCCTCACAAGAATCTAAAGGAGCTTCATGTGGTATGCAAAAGTATGAAACCCACAGGGGTGACTGAAGAGCAAATTAAATTAAGAGTCTTTCCGTTTTCTTTGAAGGATTCAGCTAAGGATTGACTCTATTATCTACCCTTTGGGAGTATTACCACATGGAACGAGATGAAGAGGTTTTTTTTGGAGAAATATTTCCTAGCTTCAAGAATGGCCAACATTCGAAAAGAAATTTGTGGTCTACGGCAGCACAACGGAGAGTCCCTACACGAATACTGGGAACGTTTTAAGAAATTATGTGCAAGCTGCCCCCATTATCAAATTAGTGAGCAGCTAATTATCCAGTATTTCTATGAGGGCCTTCTACCCACTGATAGGAGCATGATTGATGTTGCTAATGGAGGAGCTTTAGTGGATAAAACTCCCGAGGCCACGAGAAACTTGATTGCAAATATGGCGGCCAATTCTCAATAATTTGGCACTAGACTTGACCTTCCATCTAAGTATGTTAATGAGCTAAATATTTCCTCCCTTGAACAACAAATTGTGAGTGTAACTTCCCTTGTTCGTCAAATGGTTGTATGTAATATGCAAACGACGAAGGCTTGTGGGGATTTGTTCGGGAGTAGGGCATCCAACCGATATGTGCCTAACTCTTCAAGAGGAGCCCATTGAGCAAGTGAATGTGGCGGATAGTTTTCATGGACAATCGCAAAGGAAGTATGATCCCTATTCGAGCACGTATAACCCAGTGAGCAAGTGAATGCGGCGAGTGATTTTCCTGAACAACTGCAAAAGAAGTATGATCCCTATTCGAGCACGTATAACCCATGATGGAAGGATCACCCCAATCTTAGCTATGAGAATCCACAAGTAAATTAGCCCGTGACTCAAAATTGCCCAAGTTGCCAACAACATAAGCAACCATGCCCCTCTAGACAACAACCGGACCAAACCTCTAATTATGGTATGTCTTTAGAAGATATCGTTAAGTCTCTTGCCACTAATACTTTGCAATTTCAATAGGAGATGAAACAATTTCAACAAGAGGCGAGGGCCAGTATTCAAAGTTTGGACAATCAGGTGGGCCAGATGACAAAGTGTTGATGGATTTTTCATGGTGCAATGGGTGTTGATGATGTTTCTGTTTTTGAAGTTGATTACGACCTGTACTTCGTCTCTCTATCCTAAGGCCAAGCCTCCAGTATTTTTAACTGGGTCAACATTTTTACAATTTGTAAAGTTGAATCATTAATGGAGTTTTTTAAGTTTCACTAACTTATTCATAGTTTTCACGAGGAAAACCATTGTTGCAAGATGGGTTTGGATGTGTCCTCGCAAGGTTCGAATTGTTCAGGGTTGCCTTACTACCTAACAATTCTTAAATAGAATCAACATAAGGTGTGTGGTTGTTTGAGACCAGCCACCACTGCCTATTCAAAAAGGTTATTATTAAGTTCTTCACTAAGATGCCCATTGTGACATACAAACTTCCATGTTGGTCTTCAACTGTGCTTCGTTGCCATTATCTTCTTTTGTGGTAGGGATAGAATCTTGTTGGATCTCCACATTGATTAGTCTAATAGTTTCACACATAGTTGATTTTTGTTTGGTGGGCCCTTCGTCTTCCTCTCTTTTTCCTCTGGTTCATACTTGGACATTTTCTCCTTCTTGGTTCATGATCAACTGCTGGAAGGATTTATATCGGGTTTCCAAGGAAGATTTTTCAGGTAGTAATGAATGTGGCTCTTCAAATATCCCTAGACCTTCTTTCTTTGAGGAGGTTATTGGTCTAGTGTTTTTGAAGGATCCTCTCCAGTTTTCCTCTTGATGGACATTCTCTAGAAGTTTGCCTCTGAATTCAGTTCAAATTGGTCCTTCCATGGCACAAGATATTTGGGTTGTTTTCTTGTGAGGATTGGTGGGTAGAGATAGGGCTAAAACCTTTGTTGAATGCATAGGCATTGAGCTCCAATATTTGGGTCACATGAATCCAACATTGAGCTTTCAAGGGGTTCTGTGACATAGTACTTCGGGTTTTTATTTTCCTCATTCACTTGGTCCTTAGTAGTTGTTGAGACTGCTCTTGTAACATTTGGGTCATTAGTTATAAAATTGATGACTTCTTTTGGTGGAATGGGGATTAAGATAAGATTTGGTACAATGTACTTTCCTAATTCATTATATCTAGCTGCTCCTCCAAAATTTGCTTTTGTTGATTTTGGTGCTTGGGCTCAGGTGATCTCTACATCTGCACCATTATTCTCATTTGATGCCATAGGTGAATATTGAAGTAAGGGTGGTACATGCACGATGAAATATTCTACGTATTCTCATTTTGAGTTCTCATCTTTTTCAGCTTTTCTTGAGCTTCCCTCTACTTGATTGAACAATTTTCCTAAAAGAAAGTCGTTGAAGTTGTAACACCCCAATTCAAGGGTACAAAACTATCACAAATGATAAAGAGAAGTTTAAACATTTAATACATAAACCATGTTCCCTATACACTCTGTAACACCCATACCTAGGGTGCAAAACCTATTCCAAATAATTAAGTGAAAAAACAACAATGGTCCTTGTGTACATGTTAAATAATCCCACATACACATACATACAAAAAGTGGCTTCCTACAACAAGATTAGAGTTTAATGGTACACTCTCACCAACCCTTACTTTAGTTACAAACCACAAAAGAATATTTATAACCCAATATTTACAAATACTTTGTGGCATTCAAAAGACACGAAGATCCTTAGGTGACATCACAAACAACCATCTAACTCGATAGTGGACTCCTCGCATCACTACTAGTTTTTGAAACCATTAAGAAGTTTTCAGTAAATGCACGAACATAACATGATTAGCACAAGCATGTTCCAAAAAATAAAGAAAGATATTATTAGTTAGAATTTAACAACTTCAATAAAAATAAGTGTTAACGCGGATATAAAATCACACAAAATTCCACTATGCGACACCAATGTTATCTGTGTCTACCACACAAGCAAATCACTGCCACACAAGCAAATCATGCCATATAGGCAAATTATCGCCACACAGGAAAATTATAATTATGCCACATAGGCTCAACCAAAACCTAGTCAATAATTAAATTCAATAACCAACAAGTGTATAAAGAAGTGTAAGGTTAAACACTTACCTCGAGGGTTGGAGTCTACCTCAGAGTCTATCCCTCCACTAGACCTTTTAGCGAGACGTTCTTTGATGTAGACGTTTATGAACCTATCACTCATATAATTATAATTTCATTCAAGCATTTCATATGAAGACCTGTTAAATCTCATTCGTGCCCAGCATTCCCAAGGTGCACAACCATCCTAGGACAATCCCCCATGAAGGAAACATTTTCATTAGAATCCCTTAAGGGGAATCATAGAAGAAAATAAGCACAGTCATTTGGTTGACAATGTCCGCCACCGAGCCCAGAGAAGTGGGGAAGAATAAGAGATTCAGAGTCAAAATAGAAGAGTTCCTAGAAATGGGCTCCTCCTAGATCCTCTCCAGCAAGATGGGAGGGACTAATTTTGGGAGCGACGTTTCAAAAAAAATCCAACAAGAGCTTAGCCACATGAAGGAGATGGTGAAGAGGAAAACTCCAATGACCATGGATACTCTAGTTCAGCAAACAAAGTCTTCATTCACACCTGAGGTGCTACATTTCCCTCTTCCCCAAAAGTTTATGATGCCCCAAATCTAGGCGTTTGATGGGACAAACGATCTCATGGACCACCTAAACACCTACAAAAATTAGATGGAACTACATGGATATCACGATCTAGTGCATTGCCAAGCCATCGCTATCACTTTGAAGGGAACAGCCTTGGATTGGTTCAATAGGTTGGCTCCAGCCTCAATCTCTTCTTTTAGAGAGCTTTCCATCTCGTTCATGTCCCACTTCGTAGGAGCTTGAACCTATCAAAAGTCATGTTATCACTTATTGAATATGAAGTAGAGGCCAAACGAGTCACTACAGAGTTATGTCCAGAGGTTTAACTCAGAGTCCCTAAAGGTGGACCTCTTTGACGAGAAGTTTGGACTCACAACCTTCACTGTCGAGCTAGGAGTACAGTAAAAGGACCTGATGTTCTCAATTGCCAAGACTCCTCAAGCCAATATGGATGAGATACTGGCAAAGACAAAGAAAAACATTAATGGTGAGGAGGTTTTCCTTTCAACAGCTGGAAGTTCCACAACTCATGGAGAAAAGGAGAAGAAAAGAGATCAAAGTCCCAAGAAGGACAAGAGCTGAGAATGATCTCATAGGAAAGATAAGGATCATTCCCCAAAGAGGAGAGGTGACATTAGAGACTACCTGAGCCCTCCACCTCAGGAGTTATAGCCAAAGTATGCTCTATGGCAGTTACACCCCTCAACACCATAATATCGCAAGTGCTCTACGAGGTCCAAAATGAAAAGTTCCTGAGGTGGCCACCACGGATGAAGGTAGCTCCTGATAAACGAGATACCACGAAGTACTGTGAGTATCACCGAGATCACGACCATAATACTAACGATTGTATTCAACTGAAAGAGGAGATTGAGTTCCTGATCCAAAGGGGTCAGCTACACCAATTCGTAGCACAAGACAATCAAAACTGAGCTAACACACCCTCAGTCAGTTCCACCTCAACACCAACAATACATGGGAGAAATTAGGGTTATCTCTAGAGGATTCACTATGGGCATGGAGACGAGCTCAGCAAGAAAATCCCACATGAGGAAGGCTTGAGCTGAAGACGTGTTAGAAATCCAGTCCGTATCTAAGTCACCTTGGCTGAGCATGGACATCACCTTCTTGGATTCAGATCTAGAAGGCTACTAGCATTCTCACAACGATCCCTTGGTTGTAAAAGCCATAATCGCCAACAAAATTATCCACTGAGTTCTTATCAATAATGGCAGCTCAGTTGATATCATCTTTGCATCAGCCTTTGGCAAGATGGGCATCGGCAGAGACAAGCTCGAGCTAGTAAGGACACATTTTCTTGGATTCTCAGGAAAAATAGTGCTCCCCCTAAGATCCATTCAACTCGTTCTAACAATGGGAGATCCTTTATACTAGTCAACAACCACTGTGTGTTTCTTGATCATTGAGGCTCCTTTAGCCTATAATGTTCTCTTAGGGAGACCTTCCTTCAACGCTATGCGAGCTATTCACTCAGCTTATCATCTGGTAATGAAGTTCTCGATGCAAAACGGTGTGAGAATGGTCCAAGGAGACCAACGCGTAACAAGGGAGTGCTACATGGCATCGATGAAGCAGAAGGAGGTTGAAACTATATTGTTGGATGAGTTTGACATAAGAGACGAATTGGAAACGAGACCCACACCTTTGGAAGAACTACAGTCTGTCCAATTGGACGATGACCTAGGGTAACTAGTGTATGTCAATTCAAGATTGTTTAATGAGGTCAAACATCTCCTCATCCAATTTTTAAACCAAATATAGAGGTGTTTGCTAGGAGGCAAGAAGATATGTAGGGGATAGACCAATCAATCATTATATAGTAGCTCAGCGTCGAAAGCTATAAACGAGGAGGTCTCTAAGCTCCTCCACGCCAAAGTTATCAAGGAAGTATATTATCCAACCTGGCTTGCAAATATAGTGCTCATAAATAAAATTAACGGCAAATGTTGCCTCTGAAACGACTTTACTGACCTAAATCGCACTTGCCCCAAAGACAACTTCTCACTCCCTAGGATTGACATAATCGTGGATGCCACAGCGGGACATGAACTGCTCAATTTCCTAAACACCTTCTTAGGGTACAACCAGATCAAAATGAACCCCAAAAAAGAAGAAAAGATGTCCTTCTTAATTGAGCAGGGGACATATTACTACCATTTGGACAAAAAATGCAAGAACCAGAATCGCATGTTCCAAGGGCAGATTGGAACATCTATAGAAGTTTACTATGACCTGCTGGTAAAATCATTAAAGGCCAAGCTCCACATCCAGCACCTTGAAGAATCTTTTCAAATTCTCAAGAAATACATGATGAAGCTTAATCCTGTAAAATGTACTTTTGGGGTCTCCGTAAGAAAATTCATGGGCTTTATAGTCAATAGCTGAGGTGTCGAGGTCAACCCAAAGAACGTCCAAGCAATAATTGACATGCAATTGCCAACAAACATAAGGGAAGTTCAACGTTTAACATAAAGGATAGCAACCCTAGGCCGATTCATCTATATATCGAGCGACAAATGCCAGTCATTCTTCAAGATACTAAAAGCAATCTTCCATTGGGACAAACGATGCGAAGAGGAATTCAAAGCTCTTTGGAAATACCTCAACTCAACCCCAGTTCTAGTCAGTCTATGGGAAGGTGAGGTCCTTACCCTATACCTTGCGGTCTTAGATTTTTTCACAAGCGTAGCACTGGTGAGGCAGCAAGACAGAGCTTAGTTGATAGTATACTACTGCAGCAGAGCTCTGAGGGGGGCAGAGGAAAGGTACCCAAATATGGAAAACCTAGTCTTAGCCCCAGTGATAGCCGCAAGAAGGCTCAAGTCTTATTTCCAAACTCACACGATAAAAATCCCCATGGATCGACCAATGAAGCAAATCTTACAT